GGGCAGAAGCTCCTTATCTGAATAGTCCAAATGGCAATTCTGAGCAGTATTTAATATGCTGAAGAGTTTCACTCAAAATGCCTTCACGATTAGAGAAAACCTTCAGAATTTTGTCATCTTGGAATAATCACTTGACCCTTTTTACTGAAGTGTTCAAATAAATTCTGGAAAGCTGATGATGGTGTGATTTGAACGTAGCTGCAGCAAGCTTGAAAGATTAAAAACTTCTTTCTTTCCAGATTATCTGATGAGTTTAAGAAATAACAGAGAGCACATTTGCCATGCTAACCACATGCAATTAGTGTTTATTCAACTGGATAATGGTTAACTGCACAAGTTTGTGAGTTTGTTGATTGCATGAGAAGTTGAGGTTCTATTCCATTTTCGTGCCAATAACCATTTGCGGATTCACAAAGACCAGGAAAATACCTTCCCTTTTCCAGGGCCAACCTTACTGAAGATTGAGAAATACAGTCAATTATTATAGAACAAACACCAAGGCCAGCTAAAATGCTGATGAGAAATTGGTATTAATTGCACAGCATGTGTTTGTAACTTACGATAAACCAAGGTAGCATAGGATTAGATTGTGCTATATTAGTAATTATGTTCCTAGATAGAATAGAGATGATAACTGGATCAGTACTCCAGAGTGCTGAACTAATGCTTTGCAGATATCCTCTGCTGCAACTGTGCATCTTATATACAACTAACAAACCTAAATGGTGACTGCAAAACTATCATTCGTTGTTATATATATTAAATAACCACCAAAACAGGATCCCCCTCGTCCTCATGTACCACCCCATCAACCTCCGAATCCAACGCATCATCCTCCGACACTTCTGCCATCTGCAATCTGACCCCACTGCCAAAGACATTTTTCCCTCCCCACCCTTATCTGCTTTCCAGAGTGACCACTCTCTCTGTGACTCCCTTGTCCGCTGCACACTCCCTTCCAGTCCCACCAACCCCGGCACTTTTCCCTGCAACCGCCAGGAAGTGCTACAGCCACCCCTACACCTCCCCCCTCACCCCCATCCCAGGCCCTAAGAAGACCTTCCACATCAAACAGATGTTCACCTGCACATCTGTTAATGTGGTATACTGTATCCGCTGTTCCCGTTGTGGCCTCCTCTATATCGGGGAAACCAAGTGGAGGTTTGGGGACCGCTTTGCGGAACACCTACGCTCGGTTCGCAACAAACGACTACACCTCCCAGTCGTGAACCATTTCAACTCCCCCTCCCACTCCTTGGACGACACGTCCATCCTGGGCCTCCTGCATTGCCACAACGATGCCACCCGAAGGCTGCAGGAACAGCATCTCATATTTTGCTTGGGAACCCTGCAGCCCAAGGGTACCAATGTGGACTTCACAAGCTTCAAAATCTCTCCTCCCCCGACCGCATCCCAAAACCAGCCCAGCTCGTCCCCACCTCCCTAACCATTCCTCCCACCTCAAGCCCCACCCCCATCTTGTACCCACCAACTCATCCCACCTCCTTGACCTGTCCGTCCTCCCTGGACCGACCTGTCCCCTCCCTAACTCCCCACCTACACTCACCTTTACTCGCTCCATCCCCGCCTCTTTGACCTGTCTGTCTCCTCTCCACCTATCTTCTCCTTTATCCATCTTCTATCCACCTCCCCCCCTCCGTATTTATTTCAGAATCCCCTTCCCCTCCCCCATTTCTGAAGAAGGGTCTTGACCCGAAACGTCAGCTTTCCTGCTCCTCTGATGCTGCTTGGCCTGCTGTGTTCATCCAGCTCTACACCAGTGTTAACGTTTTGTTCGGTCACCGGACTCATAACATTAACTCTGCTTTCTTCCCACAGATTCTGTTATCACGATTAGCAGAATTGTATACCATCATAATCTATAATCTCAATGCCTAGCTTATCCCTCACTCTGTCAACCTGGTGAAGCTATAAAACAGGAATACTTGCATGCCAAAAAAACATAAGCAGCAAGTGAAAGACAGAGCTAAGTAATCCCACAACCAAAGGATCAGATCTAAACTCTGCAGTCTTGTCACATTCAGTGGTGAATTGTGGTGGATGAACAAATAACTCACAGGAGGAGCAGGCTCCATAAATAGCCACATCCTCAGTAATTGGGGAGCCCAACACATCAGTGCAAAAAAAAACATTGAGGCATTCGCAACAATCTTCAGCCAGAAGTGCTGAGTAGATCATCCATCTCAGCCTCCTCCACAGGTCCCCACCATCACGGAGGTCAGTCTTCGATTCATTCCTTTTGATATCAAGAAATGGCTGGATACTATACAGGCTGTGGACCCTGACAACATTCTGGCAATAGTACCAAAGACACATGCTCCAGAACCTGCAGTACCCCAGCCAAGCTGTTCCAGTACAGCTACAACACTAGTATCCAGGAAAATTATCCAGGTATGTACTATATACCAAAAGCAGGACAAATCCAATGCAGCCAATACCAGCGCATCAGCCTACTGTTGATCATCAGTAAAATGATGGAAGACGTCACCAACAGAGCTATCAAGTAGCACTTGCTTAGCAATGATCTGCTCATTGATGCTGAGTTTTGATTCCACCAGGATCACTCAGCTTCTGACCTCATTACAGCTGTAGTTCAAACATGGACAAAGAGCTTAATTCCAGAGGTGAAGTGAGAGTGACTGGCCTTAACATTAAGGCTGCATTTAAATGCATCAAACAGCCCTAGCAAAACTGGCAATAGGAATCAGGGGAACCGTCTTCACTGGTTGGAATCATATCTGCCACAATGAAAGGTGGTTGTGGCTGCTGGTGGTCAGTCATTTCAGCTCCAGTACATCTCTGCTGGAGGTTCTCAGGGTAATATCTCAGGCAGAACCATCTTCAGTTGCTTCATCAATGACCTTCCCTTCACCATAGAGTCAGATATGGGGATGCCTGCTGATTGAAGTATTGTGAATGGCAGTGAATGTTGTATAGATATTAGTCCATGTCCATATGAAACAAGACCTGTACAGCATTTGGGCTTGGGTTGCAACGTAGCAAGTAATATTTGGACCACACCAGTGCCAAACAGTGACCAAATTCATAAATGGGAGAGGTCCTTGTTAAAATAGAAAAGTAGAAAGCCCAAATCACTTTGTGGAAGTAGAGTTGGACTGGAGGGAAGGAGCAATAAAGTAACTGCCAAAAAAAATGAAGTAAAACATAAACTTTTTGCATGCAAATGAAATAAATTCAGATAGCACAGAACTGGTCTAAAAATATGGAGTCAATATAAACCAAATCTAACGTTTTCCCTTGGCATTTGATGAGTTCAGTCAACCAAAAAATTAAAATTGTTTGAACCATAAATATTAATACAAACCAACCATCTCTGTAAGTTGATGCAAGCATGTGATTGGAATAATTTTAGAGTGAGATGTAACTAAAGCTGTACATTTTTGAGCAAGGGGGTCTAACTTGTACATATTTTGGACAGTGACTACTACACTGTTATTATCAAATAGACTGCCGGAAGTATTAGTAAGTTAATGCCCCAACAAGGTTTTCGGATGACTTAAAACGGCTAAAGTGAGATCCGGGCCGTTATATAAATGGATGTTGTGAACCGTTAACTAGAATGCTGTGATGTAATGGTTGTTCCTTATTATACTGAAACATTAGCTGCCATGATTCGCAAAAATGTTCCATGGAAAAGTTCAGTGCTTTTATACTGACCCACTCATACGTTCTTAGATAATTATTGAAATCGACCCTTTCGGGCATATTACTTGACTCACATCTGGAGCAGGTAGGACTTGAATCCAGGCCTTCTGGCCCAGAGGTAGGGACAATACCATTACTCCATACGAGCTTCCTCATACATTTTCTTGTTCTTACAGAAATTCTCTGCAGGCACAATAGCTACGCAAAAGAAAAATCAATGGGAAATTTTTATCAGCAATGCATAAAATGTCTCTGCAGAGAAGCACCAACACCCACAGCCAAACAGAATAAAGTGTACTGGAAAGATAGAGTCTAAGATCATCATGTTCCTTCCATAGCAGACATCCTACCAATGGACTGTTATCATGTCCTCCAAAAAATATCTCCTGTCTCAGGCACTGTTGTGAATTGAAGAGAATGAAGATGAGGAAAAATATGGAGTTTTGACATAAACCTTATCACATTACAATCATGTCTGAGTTTTGGGAACACTTTGATGCATCCCTTACACTGGAAAGTTTCAGGCCAAAAATACCACTGTCTTCACTGGTCCAACCTACCCTCAGAGGAAATTTGGCACAAAGCCTTCAGTTGTGTAAAAATGGCTTCAGTGCAGCGACTCTCTTCTGTTAGACCACATGGTTGGAGGTCTAGTGCTGACTAAAACTGCTTTATGGGAACAGGTGGTGGTCGGGGGCGGGGGAGGATGTGGGAGGTGGGTAGGTGGCTGAAATATGGCCAAAACATGCCTGAAATAAGTCAAAGTTGATATAATCAAATTGACTGGGTTACTTGTGCTCATTTGATCATTATTCTGGAGGTTTTATCTCTCTATCCAAACAGAGCCCTCTTTCATACTGCCACCTGTTAAAATATTGCAAAGTCAAATAAAGTGCGTGTAGGGTGGAAATCACCAAGAGAAAATGAGAGTGGCAATAATGTTGAAGGAATAAATGTACTCAACGATGGGCTGATGTCATTTGGGAGGTTCAGATAGGGTCAATATGGTCAGGGGTCCAAGATTAAAAGCAGAAAAATGGGATAGTCTGTGGATCTTCTAATTCTGGATCAGAAATGCATGAGAAATCATTTTACAGAGATAGCTGTATTAGCAAGTTTTAGTACAAAACTTACAAAAAGGAAATTACTTGCCTACTTCTTTATTGGGACTGTGAGGAGTAAACTGAAATAAAGCAGAATGTTCCTGCATTCCTCATGCAACATGTCAATGTGCACAATAAAACTGAGACATTTCTGGGTCTAATTGTGATGAAAAGAAGTATGAATTAATTTTGTTAAATGTAGCCACGTACCTTAGACATGGTTATAAGGTTTATGTCTCAAACAGAAATGGAAAGAATAACTGTAGAATGTAATAGATCAAATATTCACGAGATCGGAAGTGTGCTGACTGATCTAATGTGACAAAAGTTAATTGGCAGGAAAGGTGTAAATAACCTCCTGAATGTGGCAAATATACTGCACAGTATATTTCCCAAGATATATTTGCTGTGTCATGGCCTACCACACCACTGATGTTGTGCAAATAAGATGTCTGTCAATTTAGATCAAATGTCAATTTGGTTTTCATGTGTAGGTTAATTGTGACAAATAATTTGTATTAAATGAATAAATTGGTTGATACAAGGCCTGGAAGAGAATGATGGCCTAACCAACATAGTTCCTTTATGATAATTTACTGCTACCATGCCACATTCAAGTTCCATTTATCAAATTAAATCAAAGAGGAGCGATATTTAATCATTGAGTCATGTTGAGAAGTACTTAAAATAGCTTTCTGAATCTGTGATGAAAGAAATATAACTCAGTTATCATTCAGAACATTTTTAAATCTCAGTCAGAGCATTATGAAGGTGAACAGCAGAATATATTCTGCCTGGGAGCTGACATGTCTTCTCCATTATGGAAAGAGCATAGTCTCATGTCAGTCTGCACCTTGTTGACATACATGAAATTGGTGCTCAAACCACTATTTTTAAAGTTTAATGATAACAAATCTGTCACTGGACTAATTTGCTTTGGGAATCATACAGCACATGTTGGGTCTATTTAGTCCCATTCTGCCTAAGTTGACTCTTTGAATGGACTATGTATTAGTCCCAGTCCTCCGCACTTTCCCCATAACCTTGCAAAGTTTACCTTGTTAACTACACATACAACTTATGTTTGGAAAGTACTGCTCAACATGTTTCCACCATTGTCAGCCATATTTTTTAAGAATGCAAAATTCCTATTTCTTAATCTTTGCTATTTAAATTAAATATGTCCTCTGGTTAGCAACCCTCCTGCCATTTCTTATATTTTCTGTATTAACATCCATTTCTGAAAACATTGAAGAAATGAAACAAAATTCCCTGATCTTGGGACAGATTTTTGAAAGAGGTCAGGGCTGGGATTGGAGATTGAAAGTCTTCAATTTGGCTTTGTGCTTCTCCCCACTTTGTGACCTGACAGACAATCCACTGTGAAAGAGGGTGGCCTGGGATTGGACCTGATGGCTTACCAAGCAAGGCCAATTCGATTTAATTCAGGGACCCATTAAAGCCATGTCTCCACGCCAGCTGAAGAAGTTTAACCCTCTCTTCCCTAAAATCCACCACAAAGATACTCTTCCCCCGACTCCTTCATTAGATTCCTAACAGTAGCTGGCTGAGCTGCCCTTGAAGGAATTATCCCTCCAGGATTTATCCCTCTTGGATTGAGTCACTTTGGTCCTTTTCAAAAATAAACTAGGCTGCACTTGTCCCCCGCTATCTGCACCCTCACATCACAGCTTCCACATTAGTCAGTGGGGCTGCTGATCACTGAATACTGCAAGGCCTCTCATTGGGAGAGCAGTGGAAGGGCAAAGGTTTGTGGCTACTGTGGACCCTATCAGCCATCCCTCTGAGGCGTCATACTACTTGGATCAATGCAGAATACCGTGAGCAGCTTCGAATGCAAAGATGCTGCCATCTTCATGGCTCTACCTTGTGAAGTGGGTGGGGGCGTTGCAGTAGAACGTGTTTGCACATTTCAAGCAGTTCATTGTGCAACTAAGAGAATTACAAATGGCTGGCAAATAATACATCATGTGATAAAATGTCTAACTGTATGCTCTCATTTCTGAGCAGACGACTAAGTCCAATACATTTCAGTTGACCTTAATCCTCTGGAGTCATTTGAAGTTAGGTCGTTGGGTCTGAACAGACAGAGGGCATCAACAAATTTGAAAATGCAGATCCTGTTGACACACAGAACCTTGGAAGAATAGTTTCAATGTACCATATTCTGAAAAAAACATCTGACATTATTTTAGCCCAGTATCACACCATGATAAACTAACGAGAGTTCTACTGACTGCTGATTTGTCTTGTGTTAGCATTATAATCCTCAAAGTAAAGTTACAATATATAAGCTATGACAGTTTAATCCTGAAGGAGAAACAAATATTGAGCAGAATGTTTAAACAGTGGAATGATTGACATTGCAATCACACTGTTTGCTTGTGCTTAACTGGGTCTATTTGGGTTATGGTTTCATTTGTTATCTCCTTCCCCATGGATTGCAGTGCAGCAAAGGAAATTCAAGAATCAAGTGTGATTTAATGACTATACTTAATGTATTAACCTCTTTAAGCAGGATTGAGTGAATCTGTGTTGCTTCATTTTCAATCGGATTTCTCCAAGCCAATTACATCTAAATCATGTGAAACTCTACATAAAGTCAATTTTACAACCCTTTCCTCTTAAAAGCACAAGTGAATGAACTATGGTAAGGATGGCCATGGAGTAGACTGCCAAGTTAGTATTCAATTTTATGAATACATTTGCTTTTTCGTTGGAGACATATCTTTTTAAAGAAGAGTTGAGGAGAAGAAGAAAGGCCATTCTTTACTTGTCCCGTAAGAAAACTGCTCAGACCCAGTACAAAATTTCTCGCATCTGAACCCACATAATTCATTTGGTCAGAACGACTGAAACTGATTTAACTACATTTAATAGATTTGGTCTTGGGTTGATCACTATACCGGAGACAGATAAGGACAATAGGATAAGATGCCTTGGCCTGCTATGTTCAATGTTATGATTCAAAGCTTTGAAAATGGCAAACGGATACAACCATAATTAAAACAGACTTGACATTTCAAGTCCAGTATGACTCTTCTGTTTCTCTCCCCACAGATGCGGAGTTTTTCCAGAGTTCTCTGTGTTTGATACAGCTTAACAAAAAGCATTTGTGAACGTTGAGGAGCAGCATACTAACTACTAGGCTGGGAAAGGCAAACAGGGGGTGGGGGTAGAGGAAGTAGACTTGCCAGTGCTTCCTCTGGTGAATCTGTGGCTTCTCCCTCGGAGGTGGAGGAGGTTATGTCTTGCAGGGGATGGGGCTCTTGTGAGCAAACAGCATCGAAATCTTGCAGGTGCTTGAGGCTGACAAAAGGGAGAATGATACTGCCAAGGGGTGGACATTATGGCATATTAAAATTAAATGTATGGGGTGGGAGAGTAATGGGAGAGTAGCACAACAATGTGTAATGCATCTTACTTGATTGCTGGGATATGGAGGTTTCAGTATGCACACAGCAACAGTCCTGGTCTTCACCAGTCAATGCTAAGATCCTCTTTTCGTAGTGGATGAATTGATGATAAGTCAGTATCCCATCACCCATCCTGACCCTTCCAGCCCTGTTATGTGCCATTTTCTCCTGGCATGAGAGAAAGTGAGGGATAAAGTGAGATCAGACTGGGTAGCACAGCTGTTAGTGTGGTGCGGGTACTGAGGTGTCCTAAGTGAGTGAACAGACAGCACAGAGAGGCTGCACAGGATTAGCAGTAGTGGGGAGGTTTGGGGTTAGTGAAAGCAAGTGAGGAAAGATGTTGCATGTAACAGTGAGAGAGGTAGAGCATGAGCCTGGTTTGGAGGTGGGTACAGTAGCAGAGATAGATGGGGTGTGAGATAGCGGAGAGTAGATGGTGACATTTACCATCGCAAAGTGGAGAATGTCAGTCAATTTTTTCTTACACTGGCTGGCCGTTCCCTCAGATTGTAGAGATTGCACCGACAGGGGTGGTGAAGTCAGACCAGGTTGGTAGGATCAGGTGGCATGATCTCCTCTCTGGTCTTTGGGAAGTGACAGCTCTTAGCTGCACCTACCGGTCCACCAGGATCTCTGGGTCCTGTCTGCAAAACAGGGTCCCAATCACTCACGATTTTCTATCCCTGAAACAAATGCCTATAACCATACAGAGCAGCTCTGGAATGCCAGCCCTTGACTGTGTGCACAATGGCCTTTTAAATATGGTGTCAGTGTCATGGTCCACTTGGGAAAGTGGCTGATTCTCAAGCTCCACTACACTTGGGGCTTACCATAAAAGTTAATGACTTAATTAAAAGAAGCAAAGTCCGTGAATTACATGTCTGCTACAATCAAGTTGACAGAAAACGCAGACTATGTTCCTGTACTCAGCAAGAACTACAAGTAAACAGCTGTGATTTAACAAAATATAGTTAAAACTCTAACCTCATTTAAAACCCCTACACACATAAAGACAGAGATGGGAAAAAACATTTCTGGGTGGAAGGCAATGAAAACTAAGAAGCACAGTTCAATAGCACCAGTCCACCGGATCATCGAGATGTTTCCATTGGCTTGCTGTTTTCTCGAGGTGCTTTCACTTCTTCCCAACAGGCACAGGGCGATTAGTATTCTAACTAAATGACTAAACTCAGTAACAGAAGGGCTAAATTTTAGAGGTGATGTGAAAGAGACTGCCTTTGACGTCAAGGCTGTATTTGACCAGTTGTGGCATGAATGAGCCCTAGCAAAAGTGGAGTTAATGAGAATCAGGAGGAAAACTCTCTGCCGTTTGGAGCCATACCTGGTGCAAAAGAAGATGGTTGTGGCTATTAGAGGTCAGTCATCTCAGCTCTAGGATATCACAGCAGGAGTTTCTCAGGGTAGTATCCTAGGCCCAACCACTTTTAGCTGCTTCATCAATGACCTTCCCACCATCATAACAGAGGGATGTTCGCTGTTCAATAGCAACTGTATAAACCGTGTCATAGATGTATTGCAGAATTCACCATTGCTCCTTTGAGAGCATCTTCCAAACCCATGACCAACTGTCACCTGGAAGGACATGGACAGCAGATATATGGGAATGCCAGCACCTACAATTTCCCCTCCAAGCCACTCATCAACCTGACTTGGAAATATATTGTTGTTTTTTTCACTGTCACTGGGCCAAATTCCTGGAATGGCGTTACATGGATTGCAGCAGTTTGAGGAAGCACTTACCCATCACCTTCTCAACGTCAA